CGGGATGACCATCATGAACGCGGTGAACTGCATGCCACCGCCCTGTGACTCGCTCCCGCCTGCCGAGCAGGTGGGCTCCACGACCGTCCCGTCGGCGGTCTGCGCCGCTGCGAACAGCAGCAGCGTCGCCAATACCTGGCTGGCCTCGTCCGTCCCGAAGCCAGCGACCTTCCTGCTCACGATCCCGAGGTTCCTCATGCAGGTCTGCAGCGCCTCCTGCTCCAGCGGCTTCGTGCCTGCATCACTCGGGTTCTTCTTGCCGTCCACTCTCTCAACCTCGAACTGCTTCTCCCTCAGCGCCTGCTGGTGCCAAAGGTACCTGGTCTGTAGATGCCGTACACGCCCGCAGCCCACTCTGTGGATCATCCCACGGGCCGCGTCTGAGTCCGTGCGAATGATCAGCCTCACGTCTGCTGGAACACCAGCTCCAAGCTCAGCGATCTCGAGCATCACCTGCTTGACCGTGATGCCGCGCGCTGCCGCTGAGCCGATGGCGTAGAACTCCGACTCTGCGCTGCTGAGTGCAACAGCGCCCTGCGTGATGCTCCAGCTCTCGATGAGATGACCAGCGCCAGGATCTCCGACCTGGATGGTCCCCGCCGACGTGCTCTTGCATGTCTGTACGTCGCCGCTCCAGTCGCCGTCGGAGTAGACCACCACATCCGTCCACTTCTCCTGGTAGAGGAACTCGATCCCGACGTCATGCGTCCCCGCGAGGTAGCGTGCCAACCTCCTGAGTCGCATCATGCTCAGGCGCGTCGGATGTGCCATATCCGACGCCAGCTGCTTGGTGGCGAACTGGATGTCGAAGCGGTCTGGGCCGATGTACATGCAGATGCCCGTACCCCTGCAGTAGATCGCCTTCTCGGCCCGCTTCAGCTCCTCCAGAGCATCCCTCGCGTTCTTGCCAGTCGCTCGGCTGGCAGGCGTCGGGGAAGGCTTCACGTTCTTCAGGTCCAGCAACGTGCTCAGGTTCTCGAAGTGCTTCGGGTCAGGCAGCAGCATGAACCCCTTCGCGCTCCAAAGTAGAAGCCGTCGTAGAACCAGGCCTTGCTCTTCAGCGGCTGGACCAACTCTCGGGAGGATCTTGGCCTTGAAGCTGCCCGTGATCATTGCGTCCACCTTGTCCAGCTCGTGCGGCTCGCCCTCGGTGTAGAAGTCATCCCCGTGGAAGCCTGACAGGCAGTCCCACTCGCTGTGGTACGCCAAGCAGGGGACCGTCGACAAGATGTTCCAGCCATGCTCTCGGTACGTGTCACGCACCAGCTGCTGGAAGTCAGCGCTCGACTCACGCATCCCGTACAGCGCCTTACTCACCAGCCAGAGCCAGTCGGGGCAGTTCAGCTCCTTCGGAGGCTCGGCCCACACGGGCTCCTTCAGCTCAGCGTGGAAGAAGGCCACCGAGATGTCGTGGGCTGCGAGCTGCCTCGAGCTGCCTCTCGACGCCAACCTCGAGATCACCAGCTTCAGCGCCCATGTCGGTGGTGTCCCCGCGTAGTGCTCTGGTGCAAAGACGCCTCCTGCGAAGTCGCGCGCGACGATCCGCGATCGCACACAGTCTGGACCCTTCCTGGTGTGGAAGAGCTTGGTGGAGATCACCCTCTCACCAGCTGGCTTCTCGCTGCGCTTCTTCCAGACCATGACCTCGAACTCGTCCATCTCGTCGAGCTCGCGCTTCACGCCCTGCAGCACCAGCTCCTTCGGCAGCACCTCGCCCGTGAACTGGTCGTGGAAGCTCCCCGCGAACAGCTCCCCGTCGAAGGTTGGAGGTGGGACCTCCTCCTCGCAGAGGGCTCCTAGAGTCATGGGTTCACTGACTGGGTCGGTGTCCATGGGCGCAGCGGGAACCACCTCGATCACTGGCCTCTTACTTGCTGGTTCGGCTGCTTCGGCATCTCTCTCTCTCTTCGGTGCTGCAGCTGCTGGCAGTTGTAGTCCTGGAGGTGGACTTATCTCCTGCTGCGGTGCTGGAGCTGCCTGTTGTGGTACTGGCCTCGCAGCCTCGGCGCCTGCGGCACTCACAGCTGGCTGCAGCTGGATCGCCTGCTCAGCCTGCGCCTTGAAGATCTCCTCGAACCGAGCCCTGCACGCCACCGTGTGCACGCTGGACAGCCCCAGGCAAGCTGGGCAATCTGGGCTCTCGCCGTGCTCCTGGATCAGGGCACGCGTGATGTATCTCCTCCTCGTACTCACCACCGGTGTCTCCGTCGTTGGCGCTCTCGGGTTCCAGGGCACACCGATGAACGTCCTGAACTCCTCCTGGACCCACCGCTCGCTGTCGTCACGCCTCTTGAACGTCCTGCTGAACTCGATCCCTCGCGCCGTGCCCACGATGACCTCATCACTCTCGTCCCTCCGCCCGAGGAACACTCCCGTGGCCCAGCGAGGGTCGAGCTTCGACTGGTCCTTGCGGATCAGCTTGAAGTCCACAGTCTCGCCCACACACGCCAGGGGCGACGCGAACTCCTTGCCCTTGATCGTCGCCCAAGCGCTCCTGCCATCGCTCTTCGTGGCGAACCTCGTGAGGACGTAGGCCGCATGCCTGACCAGCCACGGCAGGATCACCGACTGACTCGTCACCTTGGTCTTGAACTTCTCCTCGATGACGGCTACGTACGTGCGGGTGAGTGACTCCACTCTGCGCACCACAGCCTCGATCATGCCGTTCGCCTTGCTGTCGTGCTTCGTGGACTTCTCGACTGTCGTGCGGTGATGCTCCACCCGACGTCGGCGTAGCTCGCCTAGAAGTGCTTGGATGGCGGGCTCCTGGTCCGCCCGCAGGACGACTTCTCCAACACCCCATGCCTCGAGGTGGAAGAGTACGAACTCCACTGCAACGTCGTCAACTCCCTTCTTCGGCACCTGTGTGGCTCCAACAGCACCTGGATGCCTCAGCACGATGACCAGTATCGTCGCCTTCTGCAGCTCGCCCTCCCGCGCTAGGAAGCAGTAGTCCAGCGCGAGCTTCGCGACGGTCGAGGCGGACTCCTGGCTCCTGTGCTGATCCTCGGTCGCTTGGCCCGTCAAGCAGTACCTGCACCAGGCACGGAATGGACAGTGAGTGACCTCGTGCTTCGCCCTCTCGTCTGCGCTCGGCCAGACCGCTACCTTCTTAGTGGTCGCGCTCCTGGCCTCCTCGCTGTCCTCGAGCTCCACCTTGGGCCGTCCACCAACATCCTTCGGCTCGTCGCTCTTCTCCGTCGTCGGGCACAGCTCGCCAGTCGAGCACCGACGAGCTCGGATGACGAAGATGCCGTTCTTCCGCTTCAGCTCGATGGACTTGCCTTTGCCGATGTTGTCCTTCACGTGGCTCGCCAAGTCCTTCGCCTGCTCGGGCTTCACGATGTAGCTGCCTCCGTCGTACAGCCACACACCGTAGCCCGCGTCAACTGCAGAACTCGCCGCCATGATCGGCTTGCGCACCCCTTTGGCCTCGAACTTCACCGTCAATGGCTCGCCAGAGTTCTGGTCCGTCATGCTCACCTCCTTCTTCCCGTAGTGCTTGAGCTCGTTGCCGTCGGCCTGGTAGAGTACCGTCCCACGGCACTCCTTGATGGCCACCTCAGGCGCCCACGAAGGTGGGCAGACGCTCCTTGCAGCACACGTGTCAAAGAGCAGGTCGAAGTCGGCGCCCTCGAGGGCGCAGCAGTAACCCGTCTCGATCTCGTTGGAGTTCTCGCCCTCCATCAGCGCGAACACGAAGCCATCCTGCTCGTCGTAGTAGTAGTCATCGTCGGACAGGGCCGTCACCGCCGCTGTGTCGCCATTCTCGCTCTCGAGGCGCTTGCCTGTGATCTTGTCGACTGGCTTGCCTGCGTAGCGTCCCGACTTGTCTGGCTTGATGTCCTTGCTTGCTCGGTCCTTCGCTAAGATCCTGCACTCCTGCTTCGTGTGGTTCGGCTTGGCGCAGTAGAAACAGACCTTCTTGCTCTTACCCTTTCCGTCGTGGTTCTTTCCCTTGCCGCTCTTGTCCTTGCCTTTGCCCTTGCCGGCCTTGCCCCGTGTCATAGGGCACAGCTCTCCAGTCACAGGGTTCAGCTCCATGGGTACTGGCTCCTCCTCCTGGCTGGCCGTCGCGCGAAGGTATGAGATCACCTCGGCCTTCGCGGCTTCGTACGTCTGCAAGCGGCCTACCTGGAGGTTGACGTGGGTCTTCAGGGGCCCATCCAAGAGCTTGTTGGTCAAAGTCGCCAGCTTGATTGAATCAGCCATCTGGTCACCAGACTGCTCCTCATAGGCCTTCAGCTGGCGCTCCCAGGTGTAGATACTCTCCAACATGTCGGGGCCTCGCACGGGGTCGAGCAGCCTCTGTAGCATGCCCTGGAAGCGGCTCGGCAGCCTGGGCTCGAACTCGCGGCACAGCTGCCTCCAAGCCTCGACCCCCCAGCCCTCTGGGACTCGTTGCACCACAGATAGTGCTCGCCCACGACACGTGAGTGCCAGCACGTAGTAGATCTGCGACGAGAGCTTCTTGTCGTTCACATCCATCATCACGTTGCTGATCTGCTGCTCGTCGTCGACCTTGTTGGCTGCATACTCCAGCGCGTCCCTGCACGTCGGGTCGAACGCGCCAGCGTATGCCCTGAATGTGAATGACCACTGCGGCCACGCTAGACCTCCTTCTGGCTTGCCGTCCGCCGTCAGGTCACCCGAGAACAGCGGCGGCTTGCCCAGCGCCCTCGTGTCCACGAGGGAGCTCTGGCCGCGGCTGGGCTGCTGAGGAGCGGCTGCGGCTCCTGCTGCAGCGGGGCCCGCGGTGCTCATCTGGTCGATGACCCTCCTGGCCTCAGTGAGCTCGGCCGTCCTGTCTGCAATCTGCTGCTCCGCCGCCGTCAGCCTGGCCTCCATCGCCCTGAGAGCCTCCTCCATGGCCGATGCGGGCAGACTCTGCGGTCAGGGAACCACGCTCCGCACTACCATGCTGATATGGATGGATGGCATGTTCTTAAGCCCCAAGTGGCTACAGTACTTCAACTCACAATCGCGTGCATGTTGCATGGATGTCCGCACCCTTTCCATTTTTTCGTGCACTTGACCTTTGGTTTCTGCTTCAGCATTGGATGCGCCGTGAAGCGCCTTCGGGCCAGCTCGCCCGAGTCAGTCTTCCGCTCGCATGGATGCACACACCCCGGCCCTTTCTTGTCAGGAGCGTTCGCTCAGCGTGTCGCGTCGCTGATTCTGCCCCACCACGCTGCGATGCGACACGCTTTCCACTTCCCAGTTCCCAGGCGTCAACGTCTCGAGCTCTTGCCAGCTTCCCGCTCCGCGGAGCGGAGCGACACGCTGTCAGCTCGCAGGGCAATGCGTGCCGCCAAGGCCGCCGCCACGACACGCTAAGCAAAAGTTTCCGACCGTAACATACCGATGTCGCTCTCCCCCCCCGTCCCCCATCCCCGCTTTAGCCGTTGTGGGCCGCCCCTCGTCGCCATGGCTGGGATCGCCTCGGAACCCTGGCCAAAAGCACCCCCGGTGAGGCCCAGGGAACATTGGCCTCGATCAGAGTGAGAGGGCCCGAGCGGTCTTACAGTATCGCTGCGCACGCTCGACCAGACTGGGCCGCGCTTGGGTAGCGGAATGCCTCAAGAAACGCATTCTTGTGGCTCAACTTCCCACTTCCCTTCCTGTCCCTCGGGGCCCACCTCACTCTTCTCCGCAGTTGCGGGGTTCTTTCAATTCGTTGTGCCCCCCATGCCCTAGCCACGGCTGGGCAAGCTGTAGAGTCTTGGTACGGTACAGAAAAAACACCCTGGGAGGTCCGGGGAACATCGTCGGTGCTTCAAATGGGGCCCTTAGGGATATTGCCCTGATGACAAGGGATCTCAAATATATGTGTATATATACGCAGCCTGGGATCCCTTCCTGCCCTCAAAGCCCCATCTCTCAGGGCCCCCATCTTTGAGCCACCGACATCGGCATCTAATTATACAGTCGAGGCGTTGACCTAAGCAACCCTAAATAAGGAACGAGGCCTCTTTTTTCATAATTAAGTTAACCTTCGACTTCCCATCGAAAGCTTAAGAACAACCTTGGGCAAGGTGTGGAACAATTAAGGAACGCCGAGCCCCTCCCCAACGAAAAGGGTTCCTTCTTCAGCGCCCCGACTGTATGTGATGCGCCCCCATGCCCAGGAGCTCGAGCTAGTCGACACCCTGGATCCCTTCAGCGAGGGCATCAACTTCAGCGTGCGGCCCCCGAAGAAGAGCCCGGGGCCCGGGCCGCACCGGATAGCCCGCGCCCCCGCAGGGGACCGAGCTTGGCCCCGCTCGGGTCCCAGGGAGAGGCCGCCGTCGCATCGGAGGACCAGAGGTTGGCACGCGGAAGAATCGACTAGACGTAAGAGTGACCTTTCGCCGGAGTGACCTTTGGTGCGGGCACAGGTGGGCCTTCAGATGGCTGGAAACGAAGCGGCAGCAGCGGCTGGCGCGCCCAGGTTTGGTCTCCCCGCGGTCCCCAAAAAACCGCGCACCAAAGGTCACTCTTACCCAGGGTCACCCTTGCGTGTAGCCGAAAGAACACGGGTCGGCGACTACAATCGGTGCGGTTACGCTGGGGTGCGGTCTGCGAGTTGCTTGGTGGCGGCCTTTCCCGGGCCGTCTCTGTGAGAGACGATGGCATTCTTGTCGCCGTTTCGAGCGACACTGTGTCATCCTCGACGTGTGCTCCACTGTACTAGAAGGAGCGACAGTGCCATGTGATTCGGTCGCATTGGGTGACAGTGTCAGCCGTTTCCCGGGGGCGGGAGGGGCAGAGAAGACGGGAGGCAAACCGCCCGCACCCTTCGCAAGCCGCACCCATATTGTAGTCGCCGAGCGGGGTCGACTGCGCGGCCGTGCGCACGTGAGGGCTGCCCGCGTAGGGCGGCGCGTGGGCGCAGTCGTGCGTCCTCCTCCTCCTCCTCCTCCTCCTCCTCCTCCTCCTCCCCCTCCTCCTCCTCCTCCTCCTCCTCCTCCTCCTCCTCCTCCTCCTCTCCTCCTCCTCCTCCTCCTCCTCCTCCTCCTTCTCCTCCTCCTCCTCCTCCTCCTCCTCCTCCTCCTCCTCCTCGCAAGCTGGCGCGTAAGGTCGCTACGTACGTCGTGTCGCGCGAGACCCGTTTCTTCTCGTCGCTCGCGTGTGGCTGACAGCGGGATTCGTTGGCGGGCGGGCCTGGGGTGATGGGGTTCGCTTTCCACCACCACCACCACCGCCACCGTAAGTTGGAAGGGGGGAGGAGGTGGAGGATGATGAGGGGGGGAGGTGGAGGATGATGATGGTGATGAGGACGAGGAGGAGGAGCAGGAGGAGGAGGGCCCCGCCCCCTCCTACTTGTGGCGGCGGCGGCGGAAAGCAACCGTGGGGTCCCTCGCGCGATGGGTCGGGGGGGCGAGGCTCGAGCCAGTCCTGTGGGCCTCGAGCCGCGGCGACGCCCGCGGCCTGTCGCTGCGGCCTCTCGTGGCGGGTGGTGGGCCCCGGCCCTAGAGCCCAGTGACCCCGACGTGGCCTCTCGGGGCTCGCTTCGATTCCTCCGATTCGATGCGATTCGACTCGACTTCGCTGGCCTCCGACTCCTGCGCTCGGTTCGGCTTCGGATCCCGATGTGGATTCCGACTTCTTCGTGGAGGCCCACAGCCGACCCGCATTAGCAGGTCGACCCTGCCGGCTCAAGGGTGTACCCTCGTGTCCTGTGCCTCGCGACACGTGCCTCCCTGCACTCCTGTGGCGATGTGGCCCTCGGAAGGGTCATGTGTTTTCTCGCGTGTCCTGTCCAATCAAGGCCGACTGTGTTCGATTCGGCTTCGGATCCCGATTTGGCTTCCGCTTTCTTCATGGAGGCCTCCACTGCCCCTGACGGCTGCCAATTCCCTGCCGCTTCCTCGGTGAAGCCTGCCGGCTCCACTCGATGTCTTCATCGGTGTAGCCTTAAGGCGGGCCTGTCCCCCTACAGGGGGATTTTCGACGAAAAACAAAAAATACCCCAACAATAATCAAAAAATAGTCCCAAAATAGTCGGGGGACTATTTTTTGAGTATCTTTTGACCTTCTTGGGGTATTTAAAGGGTATTTTTTGTTTTTCGTCGAACATCTCCCTGCGTAGGGGGGCACGCCCGACATAAGTGTATCCTGTCGGCCTCCACCGATTCGACTGCCCCCCGACGCGGCTGCCGCTTCCCTGCCGCTGCCCGGCCCGAAGGGCGGGGGAGGGCCAGAGGCCCGGAGATGTCGGCCTCCGCCAGCAGCAGCATCGGCGCCTGCCTCCACCGAGGGAAGGCTCTCGGGCCGGACGAAAGGGGGGGATTGGGAAGGGGGGGGGGGTACAAAATTTGCTGCCTGCAGCTGGTCTCGGCCTCACCGATGGGGCCCATTCCTCGATACATGGGCGCCTCCCGGCGCCGGAATGCGCCGGGAGAATCAGCTACGTGAGCTGATTCTCCCCCCCCCCCTTGCTATCCCCCCCTTCCGCCCGACCCGAGACTCAGATGAGGACAAGGTGCCCCTACCTCTACCCTTCGGCCGTTTTCACCTGTTTGGGCCTCCTCGGGGGATCTCGCCGCAACCGCTGGGTTCGCCTCGAAATTCTGGTGAGAACGCACCCCAGGAGAGGTCCGGGGAGTGGCGGCATCGGTGCTCTGTGGTTTCTCCAGGGGCGGCTGGTGGCGGTGGCAACGCTCGGGCTTCTGAGGTGGCCGGGGGATTGCCGCCAGCACTGGAATGATGGGCCTGTTTTCCACCACCGCCACCACCACCACCACCACCACCACCACCACCACCACCACCACCACCACCACCTTATGTTGGAGGGGAGTAGGAGGAGGAGGAGGAGGAGGAGGAGGAGGAGGACGAGGAGGAAGAGGACGAAGAGGAGGAGGAGGAGGAGGAGGAGGAGGAGGAGGAGGAGGAGGAGGACCCTCTCCCCCTCCAACTGATGGTGGTGGTGGTGGTGGGAAACAGGCCCATCGTGAGACCCAGGATCAGCTCCCCCCGGTGGAGGCAACTCCCTATGTTGGTGTCGGTGTGCCAATTTCCAGGCCCCATATCGAAAGTAGTTGTCAGAGTCAAACGGTCTGGACAGAATTGGCTCTCTGCTGTCAGCGTGCTGCTAACAGGGGCTGGCATGGCTGGGCGACGACGAGGGGGATCTATCGCCTCTCACTCACTCGTCTTCCGAAGCTGTTCTTCTCTCCTACGCCCGTCTACTCAAGATTCTTGGCGAGGCTAGGACCTGGATAAATCATTCCAGAGCGTTCTGGAGCGCTCTCGGAGTGTTCCTCAGCGCTCTGGAACGCCCACGGGTCCGTACGTCCTCCAGAAGCGCGGAATCTCAAAGGGCCCCGCTTGGTCCCAGGTCGATGTTGTCGAGGTCCTGACCTCGTTTTTTAAGAGTGATTCCTCCTCCTCCTCCTCCTCTTCCTCCTCCTCTTCCTCCTCTTCCTCCCCCTTCTCCTCCTCCTCTTCCTCCTCCTCCTCTTCCTCCTCCGTTTCCTCCTCCTCCTCCTCCACCTCCTCCTCCTCGTCCTCCCCCTCCTCCCCCTCCCCTTCCCCCTCCCCCACCGCATGTCCATGTCGGACAACCCTTACAGTGGCAGGGTCCACATGCGGCCCCCCGCTCACCGCGCGTCTCTTTCGCCGCACCCTTTCATGTTTCGTAGTCCCACAGGGGCTCCAACGAGAGCCCCAGTGGCGTGGTTCACGCGCGGCCCCCCGCCCACCGCGCGTTGATCTCCGCGCGTGCCGCACTCGTTTCGTGGCCCCACAGGGAGGTCCACCGAAGGCCCCAGTGGCGGGGTCTACATGGGGGCCCCGCCCACCGCATGTTGATTTCGGCACATACCTCACGCGTTTCATGGCCCCACAGGGAGGTCCACCGAAGGCCCCAGTGGCGGGGCCCACGCGCGGCGCCCCGCCCACCGCATGTTCATGCCGACGCACCCTCACGCGAGTCGTGGCCCCATAGGGAGCTCCACCGAAAGCGCCAGTTGCGGGGTCCACGCGCGTTCGGCCCCCCGCCCTCCGCATGTCCATTTCGGCGCATACCTGACGTGCTTCGCGACCCCACAGGGAGGTCTTCCGAAGGCCCCAGGAGCAGGGTCCCCGCGCGGCCCCCCGCCCGCCGCATGTCGATTTCGGCGTGCCCCTGTCGCGTTTCGTGGCCCTCGGTGGAGTCCACCAACTGCCCCAGTCGCAGGGTCCTCGTGCGGCCCCCCGCCCACCGCGCGTCCATGTCGGCGCGCCCCTCACGCGCTCCGTGGCCCCATGGGGAGCTCGACCGAAGGCGCGCCCTCCACGCGTTTCGTGGCCCTCGCGGGCTCGCGGGGATTCCCCTGCGCTGCGCCTCCAGGAACTGCCCGGCGCCCGTGCGCTCTGCCCGCCGCTGTGCCCGCTGTCAGCCGCTCGCATTTGCTGGCTCCGTGCCGCGGACAGCCCGCGCGTTTCGCCGAGGCTCCTTCGGGGCGACCAGCGCGCGTCGCGGGGGCTCCGCAACGCGAGGTGTCCAGAGCCACGGTCGGCGGGGCGCAAGGACAAAGAGGCGAGAAATACGAGAGAAGGAACTGGATGCAAAACGGCGGGGCCCGGGGCTCGGGCCCGCGCGGGCCGCGCGGGCAGGGGCGCGACTCCGCGCGCTGGAACCCAGGAGAGGGGTGAGAGAGCGGGGAAGGAAGCGGGCGCGACGCGGCATTTCGAACGGGGCTCGCGCCGAACAGCGCAGCCCCCCGCGAGCCCAGCGGTTTTCCCCCCATTCAACGCCTCAGTCCGTTTGACGGCCCACTCCCCCGTCTGAAATGCCCCGCGATACTCACAGCGGCTTGCGGTCGGCTTTTTCGCTGAGGCATTATGTCCCAGGCGCTTGGTCTTATTCGCGCGGTTTTTTATCTGGGTTTGGGCTGGGCCCCGAGGTTGTTTTCAAAGCGGGGTCCAGCGCTGTGCCGCGCTTTGGGGTGGCGGCTCGGAGGCGTCGGAGTCTTTGGTTTGGGCTGCCGACCGCGATCAAGCTCTTTCGCTCTCGCTGCGTGTCTCTGCTGGCGTTCCAGTTGCCGCTCTGTCCAGTGTCTCTTGAGCTTCGAGAAGCGCACGACGAGGCTTTGCAGATCGTCGCGGTGGGGCCCCAGCGCGCCTTCTCCGAGGAAGTGCTCGCTAGTCTGAGGGCTCTGGGCGCGTCTATTGAGGTTTTGGGTCTGGATGTTTTCTCGAAGGCGATTCTGCCTAGAGCCACTGTGCATCGTTCTTCTTTAGATGCGGTTCAGCATGAGATTGACCACCTCGCGGGCGACCTGCTGGACGACGAGTTCCGGCCCGCCCGACTGTTGCACCCGTGGTGGCGGAAATTGTGAATCGGGATTGCCGCTGCTGAAGTGGGGGCGTTTGTCGTTCCTGATGGGCTTGTTTTCCACCGCCGCCACCATAAGCTGGAGGGGGAGGGGGTCCTCCTCCTCCTCCTCCTCCTCCTCCTCCTCCTCCTCCTCCTCCTCCTCCTCCTCCTCTTCCCCCTCCTCCTTCTCTTCCTCCTCCTCCCTCCTCCTCCTCCTCCTCCTCCTCCTCCTCCTCCTCCTCCTCCTCCTCCTCCCCCTCCAACTTATGGTGGTGGTGGTGGAAAACAGGTCCATCAGTTCCCACCTTGTTCCCGATCCCGCGGGTAAAGCTTCGCATGAAAGCTCTCATGCCTCTGACAGCCTGGCGGGGCCTTCTCGTCCCCCTCCGCACCATGTGAAGAGCGGGAGCGCGGGTTGGGATGCGTCGGCTTCGCTTGGCAGACTTTCAGGCGCGCCCCAGGGGGATGCGATTGGTCGAGAAAGACCGTGCTACCCATCTGATCATTTGCGTGCTTCCTGTCCTTTGCCGCTGGGTATGCGCCTCGAGTCGCATGCGCGCCACCATCCAGAGTTGCGCCTTTGGTTGTCCTGGGGACGAGGCGAGCGATGAACTTGGTCACTACCGACCGTGCATGCCCCAGACTTGCGGAGATCATGCGTGGACTGGTTTCCAAGGGCTCGACCTGCCCCTGCTTGGATTGAGTGGCTGCAAGCAGATGATTGGCTTGTGTGTCTCTGCTGTCTGGGGCCGCAATGTTGGAAGCCTACTGTGTTTGAATCGAGTGTATCCTGTCTGCTCATAAATCGAAACGGACTGAATCCGCCCAGGGTGGCAAGGATCTCAGAGTTGTGAGGCTTGGGCAGCTGGCTAGGTGCCACCCGAAGTTGCAGGAAGCCTTCAATGCTCTTATGCCTGCCAGGCTTGCTCCCGTGGCCCGTCCCCCGACGGTTTTCCGGTGGCTCCCATTTTCTTGCCCCGCGTTGTTTTGTCCCCTCCCCGTTCGCATTGACGCACCATTCGTTGTTTCAATGCTTGCAGCTTGAAGTTGAATGGGCTCATTCTCCGTTTCTGTAGTTGCTCATCGTTTTTCTGTTGGCCTGCGTTGTTTTGGATTGTGTCTTCTGTCCGTCTGCTTTGCTGTGCCTCTGGCGGTTCCCTTGGTCCTGCTGCTGCTTCTCATCCCTGTGCTTCTGTTGCCCCTTCTTCTCCTCTCTGTATTCTCTGCGCGCCCTGCTTGTTCTTGCTCTGCTTCGCCTGTCTCTCGTGCTGTCGTTGTGGGGCCATCGTAAGCGTCTGGGGCCAATCGTTCTGCGATTCCGGACCGTCTTGGAACGTCTTTGAGGCCACGGAGGGCAGACTTGAAAGCTCTGAAGTCTCTGGGGTGCGCCGGCGGGCCTGGATACCCCCCTCCCCTCAAACAAGATCTTGGACCCCTCAGGAGGGGGAACGGGGGAGAGGGACTGGGACAACCAAGCATCTCACACGCCTTCTCACCCCCGGCAAGTGGGGGTCAGCGGAGTCTTCTACTTCTCAGAGCGTAAATTACCTACCCCGCTTTCGCTTCCAGGCAAAACCAAGTCATACCACGCGCCTCCTCGTCAAGCGGCCTCACCAGTACAGGCCGTAGTTTGGCATCGCTTGGTATCCCTTGGAAGCGAGGGTGGTCAAAAAGCGAGGTAGGTTTGTTTTCCTCCTAACTTCCCTCCTTGCAAGTGGCCTCTTGGACCGATGTCCCGGTGCGGTGTTCCGCCGTGCACCCCGTGCGGAACGCAACCACCCAGTTCCCCGCCGAAGACCACCGAGACCGCCGGAGGACCGACGGAGACCGCGCACGGCCGATGGGTACTCCAGCTTTCGTAAGAAAGGGAGGGGGGTCTCATTTCCGGGGGGGGGGGGTATTTTCCAAGCTATCTTGGAGGGCCTGGGGGGGTCTCTGGGGACGATGTTTTGGAGGGTTCTCCCAGGGGGGGGTCTAAAACTTCTCGTCTGGGAGGGTTGAGACCCCCTCCCTTTTATTACGAAATCTGGAGTACACATTGTTCATTTCTGACTCTTCGAGAGTTCTTTGATTCTTTTGGGGGGCCAGGATCCCTTCTTTTTTACTTGTTCTGTCCTGGGCCTCTTCCTGGCCACCAGGGGGCCAGGAACAATTAGAGACGAGCACAGTCAGAAATGAGCACGACTAGAAATGGGCGACGTGTAACGATGGCTCGACGTCGGATGCGACATCGGCACCCTGGGCCTCCACTGGACCAGTCCAGGTGCAAGCCGGCTGAGGCTGGAATTAAGTCGGGCCTGTCCCTCTACAGGAGGAATCGTCAAAAACAGTCAAAAATAGTCTGGGGACGATTTTGTGAGTATTTGTTTTGCCATCTTTTAATATTTTTTGCATTTTTCCTCGATGATCCCCCTGTAGGGGAGGGGGACAGGCCCGACTTGAGGCTGGAAGCAGATCACGAACCTGTCGGGCGGCGAGAAGACGCTGGCGTCGCTGTCGCTGGTCTTCGCCCCGCCCTCGGACACCGCCGCCGACCCGTGGCCGGGAAGCCCGGGCCGCGCTGCAGCCTGCTCTGCCATCGATCATTGCGAGTCCTGCGTTTCGGGGGGGCGTAAGACGAGTAAGCCGGAACTCGGGTTTGCCGACGTTTTTTGACGAGCGCGCCTTGGATTCTGACGGTCCCGTTTCCATGGGATTTTTGCAGCGGGAGCTCGCGTCAAATTTCAGATTGGGCCTCGTCGCTTTTATTATGGCCCCGTCAGGGCAACCCGAGTCCCCCGTACCCGAGTCTTACGTCTCCCCGAGCGTTATCAGATACACCTTGTTCAGTTCTGATTCTTCGAAAGTTCTTTGATGTTTTTGGGGGCCAGGATCCCTTCATTTCTGATGGTTCTGTCCTGGGCCTCTTCCTGGCCACTGGGGGGCCAGGAACAGTTAGAAACGAGCACAACTAGTAGAAATGAGCACGATTAGAAATGAACGACGTGTACTAAGTATCAGGCACGGTTCGGCTACCACTGCCGTCATCGCACAGTTGTCCCGTTTCTCTGTCCAGTCGCGCGGGCGCGCGGGACGTTCCGACGACTCAGCGTTTCACCTGATTGCTCGTTGGTCGCGGAAGTTCCGGAACCATGGGCTGCCGATCACGACGTTGATGGCCATTTCTGCCTCAGGAGGTTCAGGGCACGATTTGCTGTCGACGCCGCATTGTGTCGGCGGCACGGTCTGAGTTAGGCCAGCTCCGCGTTCGTGTGCTCAGGGATGGCCAGACCAGCATCTCGGATCACGGTCTTGAAGGGGCCCTGGGACAGAGAAATAAACACGTGGACACAAATGACAGGATCCCCCATAGTTTCCTATATTTTCAGGGTCTTCGTCTTCCCCCCCACTTCCCATAGCATCCCATATGTTCTGGGAAATCGACGATGAATTGTGTCTGTGTGTGTTTTTTTTGTCTCCCTCCCGAGGTCTGCGAGGCCCGCTGCCCCCCCCGGGCAAGGCCCATCCTCGCCCCAGCGGCGGTGGCGAAGCTTCCGTTGGCCAAGCCAAGGGGGAGGGGGGGGCGCCTGCACCGTTCCTGGGCACAGGACGGGCCTGGCCTCAAGTCGGGCGTGGCCCTCTACAGGGGGGGGGGACACTCAAAAATAGGCAAAAATAGTCTGTGGACGATGTCTTGATTTTTGTTTGCCCATTGGGGGATATTTTTGAAGTACTTTTTTTTGGTTCGCCCAAAACCCCCCTGTAGGGGGACACGCCCGACTTAAGCCTGGCCAGGCGCAGCGGAGATGTACAGCTCTCGCCGCCCTGCTTGGCATCGCTCGGACGTGTACAATTGTCCGTCGGCGAGGACCATCGAGGAGCATCCTTGATCCTTTGGCGAAAAAAACACGCACGAAACCGAAAAAAACACAGGGAATGGACGTCCGAGCGATGGCCAGCCTGGCGGGATTGGGAGGGAGAGAGGTAGAGAGAGGTAGAGAGAGAGGGCGAGAGGGAGAGAGAGAGAGAGAGAGAGAGGGAGAGATACAGTCAACCTGCATAGTAATGATGGGCAACCTTCCCAAGGGAACCCTTGCATCCCTGCCTCCTCGGCCCATCCTTGGCCGCTTTCGTTGGCCGCGCCCCGCTCGAGAAGCTTCGACGTGGCCTTTCAAGGCCCTTGCATCCTGATCGCGCATCCTTCCTAGATTGGTTGACTGCAGGACAAGCCGAGCCTCCAGGAGAAGCGGAACGGAGAACCGGGCGCGTTGCCCGTCCTCGGTTCTCGCTTCGGCGCGCGGGCTGCTGCGCAGACAATGACAAGGTTGATGATGAGGCGATCCCCGTTCAGCTACACACTGTTCATTTTCAAGTATTCGAAAATTCTTTACGCTTCGCGTATCCCCACCAGCCCATCTCACAACAGCAACTCTTGCGAAGCATGCCGACAGTCGTGTTTTTCAGGCGTGTGTCCGCTTGGCCCCGCATATCTCCCCTGTTACTCCTTCCTCCCGCCTCCTTGTACATCCTCCTTGTGGGGGGAGCGGGAGAAGGACGAGGCGGAGGAGGAGGGAGAGAAAGCGCTCCTCGTGGTTTGAGTCGTTTGGGGTTTCTCGTCCTGGTGTGAGTCGTTCGGGCCCTTCTTCCTGGTGTGAGTCGTTCGGGCTCTTCGTGGTGTGAGTCGTTCGGGCTCTTCGTCCTGGTGTGAGTCGTTCGGGCTTCTCGTGGTGTGAGTTGTTCGGGCCCCTCGTCCTGGTGTGAGTCGTTCGGGCCCCTCCTCCTGGTGTGACTCGTTCGGGCTCCTCGTGGTGTGAGTCGTTCGGGGCCCTCGTCGTGGTGTGAGTCGTTCGGGCTCCTCGTGGTGTGAGTCGTTCGGGCGCCTCGTCCTGGTGTGAGTCGTTCGGGCCCCTCCTTCTGGTGTGAGTCGTTCGGGCTCTTCGTGGTGTGAGTCGTTCGGGCCCCTCGTCCTGGTGTGAGTCGTTCGGGCTCCTCGTGGCGTGAGGCGTTCGGGCACCTCGTCCCCTTTTGGGGCGTCTTGGGGGCCTCTTGGCTGCCCCAAGGGCTTCTAGGAGCGTCTTGGGTGCCGTGGGGGAGCCTCTTCGGGCCTCTTGGGAGCCTCTTGGAGGCCGTTTGGGGCGTCTTGGGGGCCTCTTGGCGGCCCCATGGGCTTCCAGGAGCGTCTTGGGTGCCTCGGGGGAGCCTCTTGGGGCCTCTTGGGGGCATCTTGGGGGCATCTTGGGGGCCTCTGGGAGGCCTCTTGGGGGCCTCCGGGGGGCCTCTTGGGGCCATCTTGGGGCCTCTTGGTGCCTCCTGGGCGCTTCTTGGGGCCATCTTGGAGGAAATCGATCAAAGAAGAGGGGAGCTTTAATTAGCGCTGCCCCCTCAGAAGGGCAAAATGGGACCAAAACCTTAGTAAAATCAATGATTTCGGCTTGAAAGAAGAGGGGAGCTTTAATTAGCGCTGCCCCCTCAGAAGGCCAAAATTGGGCCAAAACCATAGTAAAATCAATTATTTTGGCTTCAACGAAGAGGAGAGCATTTTTTCTCCCCCCCCCCCGTCGGGGCCAGAATCCTCGTGAGGGGTGTCGTTTTTTAGCCCTCCCAGGAGTCGAAAAAGACCCCTCTGACCACCCGCGGGGCGCCCTCTCCAGGCCCAGGGGGAGGGGGGAGGGGGAGGGGTAAACCCATCCCCGAAGGGGAAGAAGGGGGGTTGAGAACAGAGAGAGCTCCCTAAACCACTCACGCCCAAAGGGCTGGTGGGATTCTTTGCTTTTTAGGGGGGGTGCCAGATCCCTACATGTCTAATTGTTCTATCCTGTGCCTCTTCCTGGCCACCAGGGGGCCAGGAACAATTAGAAACGAGCACAATTAGAAATGAGCACGATTAGAGATGGGCGACGTGTACGTTTCACGCTTGGATCGGCGCGTGATGTTCCACACCCACACCGACAGTCCCCGCCAAGACAGTCCGCGGTGGGCAAAAATGGCAGTAAGTTAGGTTGCCAGCGTGCCCTTCAATGGAGAAGAAGAATATTCCCCACGCCCCTTGGATCTGTAGAAGTCACGGGGCACCCTTAAATGGTGGACAGCCAAGATATCTCATCCCGTGCACCCACTTTACTCTCTCTCTCTCTCTCACTCTCGCCCTCTCTCTCGCTCTCGCTCTCTCTCTCATTCGCTCTCTCACTCTCTTCCTCACCCTCGAAGTGGTTTCAAAATGTCTTGAACAGTTGGGTCGAATCGGGGTGCGTCCTTCTTGCAGATCCATCCTCAACCAGCGTGGCAGCCAGAGCGAGATTACACCAAACCAGCGCCGAAGCTCGGGGGCACGGCGTTTCCAAGATCGCAGGCAAAGCTCATGAAGCTGTAAAGCGAGGCTTCGGCATACTTGAGAGGGGGTGAGCTGTGTTCTGGCGCCAACGAGGTGCCGCTCGGTCGCACGGGGAATCGTGGCCAGGCTGTCCGCGAGCCGCTGGCAGTCCCCTCGGGGGCTGCTGGCGGTCGCCCTCGTGAGACCGACGCATGTCACACACACACACACACACACACACACACACACACACACACACACACACACACACACGCACGCACGCACGCACGCACGCACGCACGCACGCACGCACGCACGCACGCACGCACGCACGTGCGCACGCACGCACGCACGCACGCACGCACGCACGCACGCACGTGCGCACGCACGCACGCACGCACGCACGCACGCACGCACGCACGCGCGGAGACAGGCACTCCTCCTTCCGCCACGACATGGCAGCAACCGCCAGCCGCGGATGCGCCAACCGTACCTGTGACGGGTGCGCGGAGGCCGAAAAATGCCGCGGTGCCCGAGCTGTGTTTGCGGGCCTGGGCGTGCGGCCCGAGGGCGGACGGGAGGCGGGCGCCGTGCACAGAGAGCGGGAGGCAGGCTGGGCAGTGGCCGTGGTGATGCGCGCACGTTCTCGCGAAGGGGTCCAGCGCAGATCCAAGACATCAGAAATCCAGTGCAGATCCAAGATTCTCGTGAGGGGTCCAGTGCAGGTCCAGGGGCTCTGATGAGGAGGAGGAGGAGCAGATCCAAGAAATTCGCGAGGACCTCTGACAGTGGATGTTGATGCGCTCAGGTCGATCCTTCTCGTTCTAGGCAATGGCGGCGTGCATGCGCACGCATACACACATGCACACACGCCCCTGCGGGGGCCACGTGATGTGCGCACGTTCTCGCGAGGGGTCCAGTGCAGATCCAACATGGGGCCAAAAGCGTAGTAAAATCAGGGATTTGGGCTTCCTCGCCGAGGCCGTTCTGGACGCCCTGACGCCTCCCCGTGGACCCCTCCCCCACCCCTTCGAGGAGGGGTTTACCCCACCCCTTCGGGGAGGGGTAAACCCCTCCCCGAAGGGGTGGGGGAGGGGTCCACGGGGAGGGGGTAGGGGGAAGAGGGAGGGGTGGAAGAGGAAAGGCCCTAAACCACCGACGCCCAGAGGGCTGGTGGAATTCGCGCGGACCTCTGACAGCTGATGTTGATGCGTTCGGGTCGATCCTGCTCGTTTTGGACAATGGCGGCGTGCATGCGCACGCATGCACACATGCACACGCGCCCCTGCACATTCGGCGGGTGGCGTGCGGCTCTTTCCGAGGCGCGCGAGGCAACGACACACGCACACAAACACACTCAAATCGTGCAGTCGCAGAGTATTGACACATGCGGTTCACTACATCCTGAAAGTCTAGACAACACTTTGATGTAGGAGGAGTCGTGATGCCGATGTTGCCCTGCAGAACGGAATGAGAGCAATGACGTGCAGTTCACCGCCAAGTGGCTTGCGTGACCGCGTTGGAATACCGTATAGGTGTTGTGCCGCTGGCACTTGACCAGGCTTGAGGCCCCAGTCTGATTACGTAGCAGTCCTGATCCCAAGTTGCAATCGAACGGCAGCTTGTCGAGGCAGTGGATGATAAGATGCCGAGGCCTTGCACCACTACAAACCCACCCCCTTGTACTTCATGGATGAGATCGATGCTGCCCTCGACTTCCGGAACGTGTCCATCATCGCCAACTACATTAAGGAGCGCACGAAGAATGCGCAGTTCATCGTTATCTCATTGCGAAATCATATGTTCGAGATGGCCGACCTTCTTGCCAGGGCTTTAGCAGACCCTGATCCGTCCATGGATTTGCGATGACCGCGAAGACAACCGCGACAACGGCGATGGCGACGACGTAGTCGTTGCAGGGGCTCGCACATGGATCGGCAGTCCATTGATTGATCCGAGAACTTCCACGCTGTGGTTTGTTCACAACGTGGACCCCTGGAGGAGTGAATTTGGGATAGTTGTTTATTCCTGAGTTGTTTTTGACGTTATCAGGGCCCTGAGAGGGCCATCACTGCCCGCAAATGGCCAGCAATGTCAGTCGTGCTTGTGCGCGATGAAAGGAGTTCTGGGATAGAGCCAGGGCGACCGATCCGATTAGTCCCTAGACAGGCGGGAGCTGGGTCCCCAGATTTCCCGCGATTGGACAGAACAAAAATGGCCAGAGGCTTCGTCGCTATTCTTCCGAGCCCCGAAACCGTCCTTGGGCGCCCAGGGGGCCCTCAAAGAACGACCTGCTACGAAAGTTTGGCCCCTGGGGCAGGGAGCGAGGGAGAGCTCCAAGGGGTCCGAGCAGATTGGGTCGGAGGACGCGCAGGGCTCGCTTCGATTCCTCCGATTCGATTCGACTCGACTTCGTTGGCTTCCGATTCCGATTCGACTCGACTTGGGACTCCGAGCTGGGTGCCGATCTCTCATTATTGGAGGCATGCCAGCCTGCCGATTTCCTGCGATTCGACTCTGCCCGGCTCGGCTGCCGGCTTTCGCCGGTTCGATTCATGTCAACCCGATCCGATGTATCGATTCGATGCTGGGCTCTCCTGCCGCGCGCATCGCCGACGTCGTCGATGTATCCATTCGATGCTGGGCTCCCCTGCCGCGCCGCATCGCCGATGCATCGCCGACGTCGTCGAAGCGTCGCCGATGCACCGCCGACGCTCGCCCAGGCGTGAAGGTCTCTGAGGGGCCCGGCGGCTCGAGTCGTGTGAGGCGCCGGAGGCCTGGGGAGGAGGAGGAGGAGGAGGAGGAGGAGGAGGAGCAGGAGGGGGAGGGGGAGGAGAGGAGGAGGAGGAGGGGGAGGGAGGAGGGGGAGGAGGAGGAGGAGGAGGAGGAGGGAGGAGGAGGAGGAGGAGGAGGGAGGAGGAGGAGGAGGAGGGGAGGAGGAGGGTCACTGTGCAGCAGCTCATGGGTGCCTCGTGCCCAAAGGGGGGCAGCAGAAACAGACACGGGTAAACGCAGGTTTCTAGGAGCAGATATGGACACAGGAGACAGGGATGGGGAGACAAAAAAGCTCCAGGAACATCGTGTCCTGGAAAATGTGTGTGTATTTATGTCTCCCTGGGTCCCTCGGAATTCCGTCTTTAGAGAAAGTGCATTGGCGTGCGCTAGCGTCTGGTAATCGATGAGAAAGTGCCGATCTGGCGTCGATGAGCGTCGAGAGGCGCCGACTCGCGGGAGCCAGATGACATAGGAGGCTCCTACGAGTTGCCGCAGGAGGGTCAGGAATCAGACCGTGGATCACCCTGGGTCCCCAGGCCGACTGCGTGATTTTTTCACGTGGACCCCCGGAGGTCTGAACCCGTCCCTCGAGTCGGCTTGTCATCCTGAATCCCTTCTTGATTGTCGCTGGGCCTGGTGGGGGCCTCTGGTGCCCGAAAGTGAGGAGAAGCCTTCCGTCGTGATCCTGTCACGCCCAGAGGTGGTCTGGGCCAGGTCGGTGCTTCCGAGGTGGGGATCTACAAGACGCAGGATATCTCCAAGTCCGTGGGCATCAACCCCCACATTTTCGAGGTCAAGAAGGCGTTCGCCCCTCAGCCTGGCCAGAAAGCCCTCCAGGAGACGCGGGCGACGAAGCCGTGGTGCTACGCTCTGGTCGGACAAAAGAGGGGGTTAGGGGAAGCGGGGGGGACACGAAGTCTGCTGCATGCCGCTGGCTTCGGCACTGCCGCTGGGCTCTTCCTTCCATGTATTGGCGCCTCGGGCGCCGGGAGGCGCTGGGAAAACTAGCTACCTGTCCACTCTTTGATGTGCACCCCCCTCTTTCTTCCAGCCCGATACGCTGATGGGGGACATGAGAGCACCGGTTTCGAAACCATGCGCGGGGACCTCCGACATGCGATGCACATCGTCGTCTCGCGCTCCCTTCCTCCATCCCTCAGCGGCAACGTTCGGGGGGGATAGGCCAGGGGGGGGGACGCATCGAGCCCTCATCGCCCACTCATCGCCGATATGGGGGCCCGACAGCCCACCTGCCCAGGAAAGGGCGGATCTGTTCTCCTGGAACGACCGCCGATCTATTGGCAATGCATCGTCGGTTCGATTTCGGCATGTCCGCCCCTGAGTACTGCACGAACGAACTGGGCACGGAAGGAATGGGTTTAATACCCAACAGCAGTTCTTGTTCATTTTGAACAGGGCTCGCTGTCCGCGCCGCCGCGGCCTGTGTCCATTTGAGACAGAGGGCCGCCTGCCCAACAGCGGCCGCTGCTGGTTTGGGACAACATTTGTTGTTGGGCATTGTACCCATCCTTTCCGTACCCATTTCGGACGTCCAAATCCTCCTCCTCCTCCTCCTCCTCCTCCTCCTCCTCCTCCTCCTCCTCCTCCTCCTCCTCCTCCTCCTCCTCCTCCTCCCCCTCCTCCTCCTCCTCCTCCTGCTCCTCCCCCTCCTCCTCCTCCTCCTCCTCCTCCTCCTTCCGTGCCCATTTCGGGCGTCCAAATGAGCCGGTGCCCCCAGACTGTTCCCTTTCGCTCCCTCGACGGCGCGCCGCCTGCCTCTCGGGTTCACTCCACGGCGAGCCTTTAAGTATGCAGGGCGGTCCGCCCCTGCACCACCCCCACTCTGGCCGAGGGGGAGAAGACGAGGCCCACTTTCGGGCCGGACGAAAGGGGGGGATTGGGAAAGGGGGGGTTACGAAATCTGCTGCATGCAGCTGGTTTCGGCCCCACCGAGGGGCCTATTCCTCGATACATAGCCGCCTCCGGCGCCGGGAGGCGCCGGGAAAATCAGCTACGCGAGCTGATTCTCAAACCCCCCCTTGGCTATCCCCTCCTTTCGCCCGACCCGACACCTGACCTTCCTGGTCTGTGGCGTGTCTTGAGGGCTCGGGGGTCGCAGGGGCCCATGTGCGCACACGAGTCTGCCAGGGGTGGTGGAGAAAGCCGGAGCGGATGCCGGCACTTTTCCACACGGCTTGACGTTTCCAAGAGCTCGGGGGTGGACAGAACCCCCAACAGTGACACGTCGATTGGAGAATTGTCCGTTTTCGGTTCTCGAGAGGGCGCCGTGGCCGTTATTTTCCAGGCTTGCGCCCGCCAGGTTTGGGCCTCAGGTCGTTTTCACGAAACCACGTTTTACTAAAGGGGGGTCTGTCCATCCCCGAAGGGCCCTGTTCCATACGTCTCGCCTCGCCGTTGCCCGACCGGCTCCTCGGTGACGCCCCGGGGCCCATAGGGTCCATTTCGATCCGACCGGTCCGACCGACATCGCTTCTGGCCGGCCCGATCGGATCCGATCTCGATGTGCCGACGATCCAGTGCGGCCCTCCTGCTGCTTCTCCTCCTCCTCCTTTTCCTCGTCCTCCTCGGCCTCGTCTTCCTCCTCCTCCTCCTCCTCCTCCTCCTCCTCCTCCTCCTCCTCCTCCTCCTCCTCCTCCTCCTCCCGATCTTCGCACGACGTGTGGTGCATATTGGCGCGGCCGATCCGGTCTGATTCCGACCCTCCCCATGCAGCCCGATGCGACGCACACTCCGATTCGGCGCACGTCCCCGCCTCGTTGCTGACTGATTATGCAGATACGCCCGCGCCGATCCTGGCCAGGCCAGCCCCTGGGCCCAAGAGTGGTATACAGTCAACGCGCACGGTGAGGACACGCGATTTCCCGAGGCGGCTACTGCGTCCTTGCCGCTTCAGCCAGTGTGCTTCGGGTGGGGCAGTAATCGTCCCCCCTTGGATCCGCTGGGGGGTTGGGCACGTGCTGTCGAAACGGGTGGCCAGGAGGTTGTAGGAGGAGGAGGAGGAGGAGGAGGAGGAGGAGGAGGAGGAGAAGGAGGAGGGGCAGGAGGAGGAGGAGGAGGAGGAGGAGGAGGAGGAGGAGGGGGAGGAGGAGGAGGAGGAGAAGGAGGAGAAGGAGGAGAAGGAGGAGGAGGAGAAGGAAGAGAAGGAGGAGGAGGTGGAGGAGGCGTGGGCATGGGCAAGCTCCGTCGGAAGGTTTGTCGCCCACCCCTCGATTCACATCCCACCCAGAGTGCCCCTGGAGCTGGCGGCGTCCAAGGCGCTTTGCGTCCTCAACGCGCGCCCGTGCATGATCACTTGGCACTGCACACGCCCTCCTGGCAGGGCCAGGAGGGCGCATGCGCCGATCCTCGGCCCAGGATGGGCCTTGCCGGGACCGATGCACAGGCGCACAGCACAGTTGGTGCCCCGCGATCCTCCCATTTCGGGGGATCGGCCACGGCCGTCCTCCCGCCCGTACGCCTCCTGCTGCCCCCCCGCTCCCAGGGGCGCCCAGGTGGGAGCAGGGCACGGGCAACCAGCAGCTTGGCTTCCCGTGGCCTGTTCTCTTTGTTCAAGCCGTGGCCCCCCCTCCTCGCATAGCTCCGGCGCGAGCAGGGGGATGCCCATGGGGAGGCTAAGCGCACCCAGCTTCCCTCCGCTCTGGGCGGCGACAACGATGGCGAGAGGGGGGGAGGGCCGGATGGAGGAGGGAGGAGGAGGAGGAGGAGGAGGAGGAGGATGAGGAGGAGGAGGAGGAGGAATAAGACCAGTGCAAAGCAAGATTCATCAACGATGTTGGAATATACACGTCCTCCAAGCTTCCTCTTCATAGGCCCATGCAAGGATTCATTCCCACTGAGGGAAGTGCTTGGAGATCCTGAAGCGTGCCAACACCGTTCTCATCATTTCAACGCCACGAGTCGACCTGGACATTCTGAATCGAGCCAGAACACCAGTCCTTGAATTTCAACACCGCGAGTCAACGTAACTGCTGTGCCCTGACAATCCAGATTCGTTCCAAATCGCATTTTCTGGTAAGTTAACCATGACAGTCCGCGAATCTCGGACAACTGTTTGAAAAGAATGCGCGTGCTGCTAAAGCGAGAGCCATATTGGAGAGGCCTTACGGCCGGTGCCGCCGACCCTGAACGACGACGACGACGACGACGACGACGACGACGACGACGACGACGACGAGCGCTCTCGGGGGCGTCTTCGGGGTTGTTTTGGGGCCTCATGGGTGGGTCTTGGGGGCCTCATTGGAGCCTCGAGGGGGCTTCTTGGGGCTTCCTGGGGGTCTCTTGGGGCCCTCTTGGGGCCTCGTGGGGGGCTTCCTGGGGGCCGCCCGCAAGACGGCTTCGAGAAGTCTCCAAGAAGCTTCCAAGATGGCCCCAAGATAGCCTACATGACGGCCCCCAGAGGCAAGCGTGCACGAGTGTAGTTATGTATGTGCGTATGAAAATTCCAAGGGGCAACACTTGGCCTGGCGAAGGGCCCAGCCCTATGCAGCTGCGCGCCCACGCCCACACACCCGCCGCCACACACACACACGCATACACTTTTCCACACACACACACAAACCCACACCCCCACCCGCGCCCACGCCCACGCCCACGCTCACACCCACGTCCACACTCACACCCACACTCACGCCCACATCCACAACCGCGCCCACACCCACGCCGAAGCCCACACCCACGCCCACCCCCACGCCCACACCCTCACCCGCACCCACGCACACGCCCACACCCTCGTCCACACCGACGCCCACAAATACGCCAACACCCACACCCGCGCCCACATCGCCCACCCCCATGCGAGACTGGTGCGGCAGTTCGCAGAACCCCTCCTGGATTCTCCCAGAGGAAATTGTTTTGAAGGTTTTCCAGGGCTCTGGGGGGGAGGGCGAGGAAGGTTTTAGAAGGTTGTTCCAACAATTGTCCAACAACCTTCCAAAAAAACACCTTCCAAAATTGAGCGAGATCGCCCAATAAATTCCAGAAACGTTCCCAAAACCTTCGAACACCTTCCAGAACTGTCCAACATCCTTCCAACACCCGTCCAACAACCCGCCAACAAGTTCTTGTACATAGAATAACCTTCAGAAAGACCTTCCTGAGGCAGGCTTGAACAGAATTCGCGTTGCGCTAAAGCGAGAGCCATATTAAAAAAACGAGCCGTCCTCGATTTTTCAAGATCTTACAGGATTTTAGAACGAATGTGCTCGGCTCTAAGGCGAGAGCCGCATTTTGAAAACCACTTGTCCTGGATCCATGAGATTTCTGCAGTCGTTGAAACGAACGTGCGCGGCGGCGCCAATGCTAGAACCACATTTTGAACGCGACCCACCCTCCATCTGTGAAACTGGCGTCAGCTTTTTACCTTGAGGCTCATATATGGTAAGCAAGTCTCAGGCGAAACGCCCGGCCCGCCCTTCCGACTGGCCTCGGGGTGCGACAGGGAGGAGTTATCCATAAGGGCAAGGAACGGAGGAGGAGGAGGACGAGGAGGAGGAGGAGGAAAAGGAACGAGGAGGGAGGAGGAGGAGGAAAAGGAACGAGGAGGGAGGAGGAGGAGGAGGACGAGGAGGAGGAGGAGGAGGAGGAGGAGGAGGAGGAAAGGGAGTGGCTTGCGACGCCGAGGGCGGCAAAAAGGAGGCCACTGCGAGCTGCCTGGAGACAGCTGGCCACCCGCCGCCAGCCGCCGCGCCTGCCGCAGAGGTGGCCGCCCCTGCCGCGCTGGCCGCGCCGCGGCCCGTCGCCGACGTGCCCCCTTGGGCGCTCTACCCTGGAGTGGACCCGGGCAGTGGCCCCGGAAAGGAAGACAAGCTGGGTTCCCCCCGCGCGGGCCCCCTCGGCGCCCCCCCCCCCAGCCCTCGGGGTTACAGTGAGCGGCTTGAATAAGGAACACTTACTTTTCAAAAGGGGCTCGGTCGTTCCTCAGGTTCCCATGGTTTATTTACAAGTCCTCATGCGTTCTTGATTATTTATCGTTCCTTATGCGTTATTTCTTGGGATCAAAAGGGGCTTCGTTGCTTATTTATCGTTCCTTAGGTCAGGCCGATGATTGTACGTCGCCGAGGACCCCTCCCCCGCCGCCGCGGCCGGATCCGCCACGACATCCCGAGCTGCAGGTCGCGGCCGACCGGCTCATCCGCGTCGGCAAATTTCCCTTGGGGGCCGGGCGAACGCGGCCGCCACTGCGGACACATTCTCCATGTGCTGTCCGATCAGCAGCGTGTGCTCCAGATTTCGTAATAAAAGAGAGGGGGTCACAACCCTCCCAGACGAGAAGTTTTAGACCCCCCCAGACCATCCACGAAAGAGCGGCCCTTTGCCCAGACCCCCCCCGAACCCTCAAGACAGCTCAAATCAGACCCCCCCCCAAATGTGACCCCCACCACTTTATTGTGGAATCCGGAGTACATCAACAGGGGTCACACTCTTGCCACCTATTGCTCTAGCGCTGCGGGCGGGAAGGCAGTTTCGAAGATGAGCGACGCATCGATCTGGGTCGCCACGATGCGGGTCAGACTCATCAAAGCAATAGGTCTAGGAGGACGCGGGCGAGGAGAAGGAGGGCGAGATGGAGGAGGGCATCAAGTGCTGGGAGACCCCTGCCAGTCATACTGACGCCGAGGAGCTGCGTGGCAAGCAGCAGAAGGGCGACGAGAAGCCTCCATCTCGGCATGCCCGCAGACGCGCTGGACAGCGCGGTGCCACAACCGCCTCCGTGTCTGCAGTAACCTACGACATGTTGCAGGACAGATCCCTGGAACGTCACGGATCGCCCCTGGATGCCCTTAAGAAGACCTTGCGCCAGAGCCCAAACGTCCCCTATTCTTGGCCGCTGCGCAAGTCATGGACATCAGCTATGCCAGATCGGGTCCGAGGCTGTGCGCAGTCTGCACGCCGGTCATCTCCGAAGGCGCCGTTGTGCTGACTTGCCCATGCGGCCACATCGCGCGCCCCGGTCCCAGGTCGACCATTGCGTCTCTTGCGCCATATTCGACGCCTTGCTCTGGTGAGCATGCTTCTCGCCGCGCCGTTTGTTCCGACGCGCGGCCTTACGTCTTGAGAAGTGCGCCTCGGGCACCGGGGCAAACTCCCCCATTGCCGCCCACGCCTCGCCCCGCCCCGCCGCCAGGAGGAGCCGCCCGCCTCCCAGCCGCCCGCCAAGCGCCGCGCGCTCGCGGCCGCGGCGCCGGAGGCGCCGGCGACCGACATCGACTGAGAGGCGGGGCCGCGCCGGGCCAGCACGGCGGGGGCGGGGCGCGGTGCTCTCGGGGGGGTGTCAGGCAGTGGCGAAGCGTCCTGTGGCGTGCCTATAGCCCTACCAGGCAAGGTTTTTAGAACCTCTTGTGGCTTCCACGACATGTTCTCAGAGCATTTCTGGCGGAGTCTGGCTTGTTGTATCACATCGGGATTCTGTTCTAAGAACTCTGTTTTCGTTCTTCGGAAATTCTGGGGTTCTAAGAACCTTTCGTGGTAGGACTATAGGAATGCCGGGACGGTCGGTCCCTGCTCAAGGGTGGGCGCCGCTTCCTCGGCGGAGGGGAAGCGGGGCGACTCCACCGGCGGAGGCCGCGGGAGCCGAGGCTGACCACCCCCCCCGGGCGAGGCGAGGGCGAGCGGTGCTCTCGGCAAGAGCGCCCTCGAGGGCGCGAAGTTGTTCGCGCTTCGCGGTTCGGCTCCGATCCCTCCTCATCCTCTTCTCCCCTGGGAGGCGCGGCGCGAGAGCGCGAAGTTATTCGCACTTCGCGCCTCGCGCAGCGCGAGGCGCGAAGTTGGGAGCCCTTGTCTCGGAGGTGGTTGGCGGGGGGCCGCAGACGGTGGGCGGGCCCGCGAGCCGTGGGCTCGCCGTGGCGCCGGCAGGTCTTCGGGGCAGTGGGGCCGGAGGTGTCCCTGCGGCGTTCGGCCTGGAGGCACGGAGCCCTGTGCAGGCCCTGGGGCAGTCACGGAAGCAGCTCTGGATGTATGATGCTCCAACCTAATCCAGAAGCCGCATTAAAGTGATCATTTCCCCCCTCTGTGACAGAGGGGGTGTTTTTCGGACCCCCTCTGTGACAGAGGGGGTGCGTTCGGAGGCCCTCTGTGACAGAGGGGGTGCGTTCGGAGGCTCTCTGCGACAGAGTTGCTCGTCATCCCGTTCCTCCTCATCCTGCTTCTTGATTTCGGATATGTCATGCTACCACTGCGCTCATCATCTTTGCGTCTGTGATCCTCGTCGTGTTGTTCCATGCGTCCTTTTCACAATTTCCACCACATTATCCTCCGTTGCCGTTCTGGCCCGCCATCTACCTCGTCACTCTCCTTCGTCTGCATGTCCTTATTCTTTTCCGCTCTTTTTTCGCCTCCCTCTGGTTCGATTTCCGCTCTTCGTCCACTTCGTTCATTCGTTTCCAACCCCCCTTCCTTTCAAGTTCTCCGCCGTCCAATCACGTCGCGTCGTCCGCCGCCGCTATGCTCAAACCACCCCGCGCCCGTGGGATCGCCCGCGAGCACCGGTGCAGCTGGGCCCGTCGCGGCCTAACGCGCGCCTGCGCCATCGTCTTGCAATGGGCGATGCAGGCGGATACACATGGGATGGCGCGGGAGGATGGTGGGATAGCCGCAGCAGCGGCTGGCGTGGCTGGGAGGACGGCCATGATTGGTCAGCGAGGGGTTGGAGAGACTGGCGACAAGACGGGCACACGCCAACGGAGGACGCCAAATGGCGCGATGGCCCTGCCGCCGCAGCAGCGGCGGCGGTCTCGTCTCAACGGCCGTCTCGCTTCGCCGCGCTTAGCGTTGTGAGCCCCCGCGCCCCTGGTCTCGGCAAGCCCGAATTCGATAATTTCGTGAGGGCTGCCCTCCGAAACGTACCAGAACTTGGGAACACAGTTTCAGGAGAGGGGTCGGGATCCCGAGCCGCGCCTGCGGCGCAGGAGCCCCGCGCCACCGCAGCGGCGGCGGCGCGCGGGCCCCAGGATTTCGAGAAGTTTGATGTTAATTATTTTTTGAGTTATGAAGAGAGGCTCGGCACTTCGTTTAAGCAACACAATCAAGCGTTGAAATGGTGGCGCCATCTGAATGAAGACCCAACTGCCCCGTTCGAGTCAGAAGCCAAGTGGTTTGACAATGCGAAGCCCACCATGGTCGCTGTTTGCGACCACGGTGCGAGGACGAGCTTTGGTTTCAAAAGCGACGAGGAAGTCCCTTGGCGGTGGCAAGAGATGGTGGCGACGCTCTGGGAGGAAGATATCAGGGAGGTCGTGGAGGGGCCCCGCAGCAGCGGGGCTCTGATCGGCTGTCCCCTCGAAGTCCGGCCAAACAGCTACGACCACATGCGTCAGAGTATTGTGCGCGCGCGACAGTTCGCGGGGCAGCGGGTGAAAGTGAAGCTGCCGATGTGGGATTTCGTGTTGCACCGCGACGACGGGACAGGCGTCCGTTTACACCCGCACTGGGGCGACAGGAAGGTCGAAGCTCTGCCCCTCGTCCCCCGCGCGGACACGGCGAGGCCACCAACCGCGGGTTTGGGCGGGAGCGACGGGTCAGGAACTTTTCGCTGGTACAAGGACCTCGGTGTGGAGCGTAAGGTCAAGCTCGACGCCGCCAGAGAGAAGGGGAGGCCGACGCCCTCTCAGGGACCCCGCAGCAGCGGGGCCGCGGCGTCCAGCACCAGGCCCTCGGCGTCCGCAGCAGCGGGTGGCAAACAGTAGTTTTGGGACCGAATAACTCCCCAGACGATTTGGTTTCGGAGTAGATGGCTCCGCAGCAGCAGCGGGGCTCGAATGAAGGGCGCGTTGCATTTCTGCAGGGGCGCGCGCGTCGGCCGCCGAGATCGGGGGCGCTCGTGCAGGCGCCGTGGCGCGATCTTCGTAAAGAAGTCTTCCCTCTCCTCCCTGTCCCCCCATCCCGCCGCCCTCAACGTCGGCTCCTCGCCGCCCGTTCCTCGTCGCTCCACGCCTGTTCGTTCTCCTCCAATTTCCTCTCCCGCTTCCTCGTTCTCTCCTTCCCATTTTTCCCTCCATCCCATTGCATCCCTGGCACCCCAGCGAAGTTCGCAGTTCGAAGTTTGAAGTTCGGAGTTCGAAGGTTGCAGTTTGAATTTCGAAGCTTCGCACTTCGAGGTTCGATCTTCGAACCTTCGTCATCTCGTCGTCGTAATCGTCGTCCTCGTTCGTCGTCGTCGTTCCTCGTCGGCGTCGATTGTCGTTGTCGTCGTCGCTCGTTGTCGTCGTCGCCGTCGTCGTCGTGGTCGGCGTCGTCGTCGTCGGTCGTTGTCGTCGCTAGTCGTCGTCGCTGGTCGCCGTCGTGGTCATCGTCCTCGTCGTCGTCGTCGTGGTCGTCGTCGCCCTCGTTGTCGCCGTCGTGGTCATCGTCGTCGTCGTTGTCGTGAAACGCCCCACGTAGGAGGAGCAGAGAAGGGAGTAAGGAGAAATGAGCACGGTGGAGGGAGGAGGGAGGATTGAACAGGAAGAGGAGGGTACAGATGGAGGTAGAAGGGATGAGGTAGTTCAGAAGTGGGAGCAGCAGACTGGCGCAATGGGAAAAGCCATGTGAGTGCAGGGAGGGATGGAAATGCGATAAAGTGAAGCCGCAGCCGTTGCAGGTCTGCCTCCCGCCGCGCCCGCCCGCCTCCGCGACTGGAGCCGCGCAGGAGCCTCTGCCGAAGTCTCCGCAGCAGCGGGGACTGCCAGAGGAGGCCCCTTCGCGGTTTTTGCGCCGGCATGGCGAGCATCGCGGGCAAGTACGACGTCGATGACTTCGAGCTCATCACGACGGAGGGCAGTGTTTGGCACTGGGCGACCATGGTTGTGCGGTTTCTCCAGTGGCGCAATCGTTGCCGCCACGCACGCGCCGTTGGAGTGAAGGGCCAGATGCTCGTCGACCAGGCGCGGCAGATGATGGAGGAGGCGCGCCGCACCGAGGAGATGGGCAAGATGACGCTTGAGATGTCGAAGAAGAAGGTGAAGGACATCCCAGGCAATATTCGGTACTTTTGCCGCCAGCCGCACCAGGAGAGCTGAGCGGCGATCGGGGCTGGGCCGATAGAGGAGGACGAGGAGGAAGAGGAGGGGGGATGAGGAGAGGAGGAGGAGGGGATGAGGAGTTGGAGGCAGCACGCGCACCCGCACTAAGAGCCGCCAGCCGCGCCCGTCTCCGAGCATGAAACCCGAGCTTGGCTGGAAGGGGGGAGGGCGGTAGCAGAAACAGCGCAGGACAGGGATGGGAGAGGTCACGCATCCGCCGCATTAGCGGCGGTGGTACGACAGTTCTCATGGCGGCGCGGCGGTCGCTGAGAAATGGAGCACGTGCGTGGGCCTGCGTGCGCTTAATTATGAGTGGCTCTCGTCCCCTCCCCTCCTCTTCCTCCATGAGATCTCTCTCCTGGTGCATATCCCCTGCCAGTGCTCGTCCTGCTCCTCTATCCGCCCCCCCTCGTCCGTTCCTGCCACCAGCCACATGGGGCGTTCTCAATCAACACCCCATTGAGTGTCCCCATGTGAAGGTTGCCCTTTGTCATGAGGGCGGACTCGCAAGAGCCGAGTGGCTGAAGAACTAATTAGTAGTTTGGGGTCCGAACAGCTCCCCAGACGATTTGGTTGTGGAGTAGGTGGCTCCGCAGCAGCGGGGCTCGAATTAAGGGCGCGTTGCATTTCTGCAGGGGCGCGCGCGTCGGCCGCCGAGATCGGGGGCGCGCGCGCAGGCGCCGTGGCGCGATTTTCGTTTTGAAGTCTCCCCTCTCCTCCCTGTCCCCCCATCCCGCCGCCCTCAACGTCGGCTCCTCGCCGCCCGTTCCTCGTCGCTCCACGCCTGTTCGTTCTCCTCCAACTTCCTCTCCCGCTTCCTCGCTTTTCCTTCCAATTTTCCCTCCATCCCAGTCCGTCCCTGGCACCCCAGCGACGTTCGCAGTTAGAAGCTGGAAGTTCGGAGTTCGAAGATCGAAGTTTGAATTTCGAAGCTTCGCGCTTCGAGGTTCGATCTTCGATCCTTCGTCATCTCGTCGTCGTAATCGTCGTCCTCGTTCGTCGTCGTCGTTCCTCGTCGGCGTCGGTTGTCGTCGTCGTCGTCGCTCGTTGTCGTCCTCGCCGTCGTCGTCGTGGTCGGCGTCGTCGTCGTCGATCGTCGTCGTCGCTAGTCGTCGTCGCTGGTAGCCGTCGTGGTCATCGTCCTCGTCGTCGTCGTCGTGGTCGTCGTTGCCCTCGTTGTCGCCGTCGTGGTCATCGTTCTCGTCGGCGTCGTCGT